GGCGGCGCCTCCATGCTTCTTGTTCTCCTTGTTCCTAATCCCCCCCTCCCTTCTCCCTCCTCCCCCACCCGCTTCCCCACCCCATCTCCCTCCTGGAGGTTCCTGTCTAGCTTCGGCCTGCTCGTTGAGGGGGGGAGGTCGACGCCTCGCACCCCCCAAGTCTTGTTCCTCCTCCTCTGGCAGTCCTTTGACGGTCCCTGGGGCCCAGACGCGGGCCCACGGGCGACAGAATGGGGCCCTCCTGGGGGGCCTCTTGGAGCCTCCGTTGGTGCCTCGCGGACGGCCTCCTTCTGTAGCTTCTGGCCCCTCCCGCGCTCCTCCGCGAATCTGCCGCCGCGGCCCTGGGGGTCAGTCTGAGGGCTTCCGTCCAGCACAGGGGGCGATGACCTCTGGACGGGGGACAGAGCGGTGCAGGGCTCGGCCCCTCCCCCCTCGGCGCGATCCTGGCTCTGCTTTCCCCTTGCGGCACTCTCCCAAGCTCTGGCCGCGAAACGTGCTGCGTATCGAGAGAGGGGAGGCCCGCCTCGCCGTCGGCGGGACCGAGACGGATCACGGCGCCGGAGGTTTAGGGGTGGTTGGGGGGTTGTCGACCGCACAACAGGCGTGCGGACGGGGGCCCAAGCCTCGCAGAGAGGGCGCCTCCATGGCTCCCGCGCCGCCTAGAACATCGAGATTGGTGTCGTCGGCGAGGACCGCAAGTTCCGCGTGCTGACACCTGCCGAGGCCAGAAGGGGGGAGCGGCTCAGGGGGAGAGGAGAGAGGTGGGAGGTGGATGCTGGCGGTGGCAGATCGTGGGTGCGAGGGAGGAGGGGTGGAGGCAGGAGGAAGGAGAGAGGAAATGGTGGGAGAGGTAGTGACCGTCGTTGGGTGACCGTTGTCGCGTGACGCTACTCGCTACGCTTTGCGCCGGCCGTGTCGAAGTCCATTCTGGGTCAAGGATTGGCCGCAGGCGGCGTACTGCAAGACACTCTGTTGCAAAGTGGTCGCGTATCCATGTGCTGTTGTACATGGCACGCGGTATCATGACGCGGTGAGCTGCGCTGCGCAGTCTTGTGATGCGCTGTCGCTTGCTGACCTGCCTTGCAGTGGGATCGGCGCAAGCAGTGTGGCGATGGCCCCCACGTGCGACCCGCGCAGGTGCAGGACTACCTCGGCGAGGTGGAGTGAGGTGGGCGGCTCCCCGCGACGTCTCGGGCGGGCGACGGGCGGCTCTCAACGGTCTGGACAGCCACCGACCCTGGGGACGGCGGCGGCGGCGGCAGCGACGTCTCGGGTGGGCGGTGGGCAGCGGGCGGTCCGCAGAGGCCTCGGAGCGCACTGTCGGTGGACGGGGGCGGCTGCTGCTCTCTGGGTGGCCCTCCGATCCGGCCTGGTGTCCGCGAGTGGCGTGCAGCATGGGCGGGGAGACGACTGCGAGAGAGTGAGAGAGAGAGAGAGAGAGAGAGAAAGTCGCTGAGTGTTTGGGGGGGAGGGCGAAGGGTGGCGGGGGGGAGTGCGAAGGGCAGGCGTCTCCTGGGCCTCTGGAGGCCTCTGGGGACCTGGAGGGGTCCACAGCCTCCGCGGGCGCCGTGGTTTTGCAGATCTTGTGTCTGTGCCTTTCTCCGTCGACTCTGGCCTCCAGGGGGCTGCGTCCCATGAGAGGACGCCCCTGGATGAAAACTGGCCCAAAGGGAAGGAGTCGAGAGCTCTGGGGCCACGGATCAGAGAGAGCACGACGTCGGGCGCCTGGGAGAGAGGGAGAGGGAGAGGGGGAGAGAGGACGAGAGAGAGGGAGGCAGAGAAGGAGGGAGGGAGAGAGAGAGAAAGAGATGGAGAGAGGGAGAGGAAGATAATGAGACAGAGAGAGGGAGGGAGAGGGAGGGAGAGGGAGGGAGAGAGAGGGAGGGAGGGAGAGAGGGAGCCTCAGGTTAGGCATGTCAGAGGCTGTGGATGGACGGATGGGCTGGGGATCTGGTCGGAAAGCCAGCGGTGTTGCCGTGTGGTCACTGACATTCGGCTGGCGTGTTGCGTTGCAATCGCGCTCTCCTGGCTCTGCTCCTCTCTTCTGCTGGCCTTCCCGGATCTGCGCGCGCACCCGTGCAGCCGGGGCGGCAGAGGACTTTGGGGAGCTCGAGCGGGTAAAAGTGCCAGCGTTGCAGGCGTGCGACGCCGGCACTCGTGGGCGCACGCCCCCCTCCAGACAAGCCACATGAGTAGCCACGGCCCTCACCGTAGAGATCGTTGCCCCCCCCCTGGGCGGGCCCTGCGGCTGCGACGCAAGCCTCTTGGGAGGATCGAGACGGGTACGGAAAGGACCGATCCTGGTTTGCCTGTATGCTTGCCGATTCGGCTGCTGGTCAGCATGTGTCTCTGCAGATGCGCGTCGGTGTGGTTGGAGGCGCAACTCGCATTTGCGCGCGCACCCGCTTCTCCGCAGGCGCGGATACGGAGGACCGCCGTGGAATCGACGGCTGCACGCGTGCTGGCCACGCAGGGATCGAAGAGGAGGGACGGACGGCGCAGAACGAGGCAGGAGGAATAGTTGACGGAGGAAGACGGGAGATGATCAGCGAGCGTGTTGGCCCTCATCTTATTCCACTTCCCTTCCTCTTGGGTCCCACGGAGTCCCACGGAGGTGCCCACATGCCTCACCGAAGGTTCCATGCGTCCAGAGCGGGCCATAATCGAAGACAGATTTCATTCTTCGATCATCGCTCTGATGCTTTCCTCTCTTTCCCTCTCTCTCTCTCTCCCCTCCTCCTTCTCCTCCTTCTCCTCCTGCTCCCTTCTCCTCCTCCTCCTGCTCTGGTGGAGCGAGGGCGAGTGGGGCGGAAGAGCAGGCGGGCGTGGCAGCGTGCGCCGGGTGCTTACGGCTCCGGCGCGCCGCCGTCCAGGGGCCCACGATTTCTGTCACAGGAGGAGGGAGGATGAAGGACAGAAAAGGAAAGGAGGGCCATGCGCCCCAAGGCGCGTCGGCGCGACTCAGGCGAACACGAAGACTTGTCGATCTTGAACAGCGTGTGGACGTAGTTGGTTTGCCCGTTCTAACCATAGGGAGAACCGAACCCTTTCCCAATCTCCCCACCGTTGTTACCCCAGGTTGTGGAGGTGGGGGGGGGGAATGAAGGAGGACGAAGGAGCAGGAGGAGGAGGATGAGGAAGGAGGACGGAGGAAGAAGGAAGAAGGAGGAAGGAGGAAGGAGGAGGGAGGAGGGAGGAGGGAGGAGAGGAGGAGGGAGGGAGGGGAGGAGGGAGGAGAGGAGGGAGGGAGGGAGAGAGGGGAGGGAGGAGAGGAGGGAGAGGAGGAGGAGGAGAGGAGAGGAGGAGGAGGGAGGGAGGGAGGGAGAGGAGGAGGAGGAGGGAGGGGAGGGAGGAGGAGGAACCAGAAGGAGGGAGGAGGAGGAGGAGAGGAGGAGGAGGAGGGAGGAGGAGGAGGAGGAGGAGGAGCAGGAGGAGGACATTCGAGGACATTCGAGCGAGGGGCTCCGCGGTCGACTCGGCCGCCGCGGCCCCCGCCCGCGCAGGCCGCGCGGGCTCTCAGCGGTCGCGACCCCGCCCCCTGAGCAGGGCGGGCGTCCACCCCACTGGCACTCCAGGCCAGAGTATCTCTGCGGGGCCGTAGCCCCGTACCGTGAAGTCAACCACGAGGTCGTCGCCCAGCTGCAACTCGTGGTAGCCGTCCGCCGTTAGGCGGCATCGTCCCATCTGGCCAATTCTGGCCAGCCTTAGGTGGTAGTCCTTGCCGTAGCCGACGAAGTACAGTGGTCCCGCTCTGCGTGATCTTGTTCCTGCACTCCGTCGCCAGTAGGTTCACTCTGCCGTGTCCGTAGTCGTTGTGCGAAGCCACCGCAGCACAATTCCAGCACAAGAACTGCCCATGGGCAACTGCAATGCTGTGGCTGTCGTGGATCACTTTGTCCTTGATCTCGATCAGCTCATTGTTGGGAACACGGACTGTATGTCCGTGATCTGCTCGGTGTGTCTCATACTGCCTCCCGATGCACACGTTAGCCTTCATCCAGTCGACTACGCTGTACTTGCCTGGGGTTAGCCAGCACTCTTGGCATACCCATTGCCCTTTCTTCTTTCGCGTTATGTGGCCCGACTCCTTCTCAATATGATATCTTCCTTCCTTTGCTATTTTCTTAGGCATCTGCTTGGGCCTCTCAAGCTTGGTGGGGTCCGCATCCTTGCACACCTCGTGGATGATCGCTGCCGCCCGCCTTTGGGCCCTCATAAGTGTAGTCTCCGCTTCCACCAGTGCCTTGACCTCCTGCCGTGTTTCTGCCATTGCCTCTTCTGCTCCTCGCTGCGCCAACGTATCCGCCATCTCATTGCCCATGCTGATGTGGAACTCTTGGCCAGCCTGCTTAACCGAGTCACCGTCGAGGTGGGATAAGCACTTCTGGACACGTACTCCATAGACACCGCCAGACCGCTTGCTGAGCATAAGTTTTATTCTTTCCCACCATGGTCGCTGAGCTCCTTGGGGCTGCTCGTAATACTTGAGGGTCCAACCATTCATAACCAGCTGGCAGTCCGTGATGATCAATAACGGGCCTCGCGTTAGCGCCAACGCCCAGAATAGTCCTGCATGTTCAGCTGCGGGTACACTTTGTTCTCCATCAACGGTGCCATAGAACCCGATGTGGTCTGTGCCGTCGATGAAGCCCGTGCTGTCGTTCGACAGGCTGGCCTTGTAGATCTCGTGGGCCACCACATGCATGGCTGCTGGTCGGTCCTCATCATTGTCTTCATATTTTTCAGGCATCTCCTGGTCGAAAGTGGGTGCTCGGTCTTGCAATAATTCGCGAAACTTGGCCTTGATGTCCGCTACGCTGTCGAACCAGTGGGAGATGTATGCTTCTCTTCCCCAGCCCGTAAGGGTGAGGGAGTAGTCGTACACGTCTTTCCGCTTCTTCTTGGACGATCTCCATTGCATATCACAAAGGTCCTTCGCGATCTGGCTAGTGCTTCGGATCTGGTACCTTGCTTTGAGTAATTGTCGTAGTGCTGCTTGTTCTTGTGAATAGAACCCGTGTAATACCCTCATATATACTCCTTATCCTCACCTCTCCTGCGCCTGGCCGTTTGGGCTCAGGTATTGGGATAGATCGATCAGACCTTTGATCGTGCAGGAGGGAAAGACATCCACCTATCCCTCCTTCCCTCTACCAACGGATCAGGGGTTCTGTACCCTTGTACTTCAACCCCATACACAGGTTATCAGCCCTTTAAAGCTCACCGTTCATCGAACCACGCGTCGTGACCTCGCACGCGGCCTCGATGGAACCCAAACGGCGCATGCGCTGCAAGGGGTCCATCGGGGCCTCGCGTACGAGCTCTCCGACGGCGCGACGGCTCGGTGACGAGTTGGAGAGCCTTAGTGCGGACTGTGTTGGTGTCCCAGGTACCCCCCCCCACCCCCCCCCAGCTCCGACGGACCCGAGGCGCGGCTAGCTGCTGAACTTCACCGCAGCGCCGCCCGCGGGGGGACATGAGAAGGAGTAGGAACAGGAAGGAAGGAGTTTCACGCGCCTACCTTCGATCCTCCATCTCCTCCTCAGTCGGGAGCAATCCCAACTGCGTCAGGCGAAAGCCTCACTGGTCCTGATACTCCAGGGCGCTTTCGCGCTAACCGCCGATGGACCTCAGGTGCTGGTACCTCCAGCCCTGCGACCGTTCCTGTTGCGGAGCACGTAGCCACCTTCGAGGAACTCAGTAGACCAGTGGCGGCACAGCCGCAGACGCAGTACCCCAAGGTATCATCGGATGAGACACCACACACGCATGGTCCGAGTCGCAGCTCGTCCGCGCGCAACCGTCGTGGGGCCCCAGGCCCATGCGGCGAGAGTAGGTCGAGCCCGCGTACTGCCTCTCAGAGGCCATGCACTCCCCGTGACAGGGGGCACAGGGAAGCTGACGCTCCCCACCTCTCCATCTCAGACGACCAGCTGGCGGAAACGTCCGCCGCAGGTGAAATAGCTGAGCTCAGAGACCAGGTTGAAACCTTCGTGTCCAGGCAATGCTCTGGACTACTGCAGAGCGTTCAGACGAACGCCGCCGATACTGCAGCCATACGCCACGATCTGGACGGCGGCTTAGGGATCATTGATTCCAGGATCGCCGAAGATCGACGCATCATAAGCGAACTGCAGTACCAGGTTGATCGCGAGGTGTCACACTCAGGTGAACGAACGGCGATGGTCGAGAACCTGCGCAACTACCTCGCGCAGATGGGGCAACAGCTTGTGCTCGTACGCGACACAGGCGTTTCAGCAGTCAGGATCTTACACGATGAGATCCACGACCAGCTCCGCAACCGACCAACAACAGCCGAGGCCCCCGACCTTGGCGACGTTCAGTCTCAGATTAATGATCTTCGATCCTACATAGACCACACTACGGCGACGCTTCGCAACGAAGCACGCACTAACTCGTCGAACCTGATCGACATGTTGCAGCGTACTGAGAGAGTCATCACTCAAAGGCTTGATGCGACCAACGCTGTCGTGCAGCCACTCGCTAACCGGATCTCTGAAATCGAGCAGCGCTCTCCTGATGTACAGGACGCCCTGGCCGAGTTGCGTGTCGGACGAGCCCAGACTGGCCAGCTGGATTCTCCTCCTACGGTTTACGATTTCGCCCGCCTCACTGACCGGTTGCAGGAGGTCGAGAAGGCGGCGGGCCGCACGCAGTTGGAGCTCTCCCAGGTTATTCGTGAGGGAGATACTGAGAAAGTACGTGTTGAGGGGCACCTCGCACGTCTGGAAAGCGAGCTGGAGGCACAAAGCGCCCGTCTCCGAGCATGCGAGCAACGACTTGATCGGTATTCACAACGTTCTCGGGATACTGATGAGTGGGTACACACGCCAAAAGGTGGCCCAAATACACGAAGACATGACGAGCTGGACGAATCAGCTGATCGACCACACCAACGACACCAATCTCCACCTTCGACCTGCAACCGACCTGCACGGGCCGACGGCAGCGTCCGCCGAAGCACCACAAGCCTCTGCAGGACAACAACGACGTACGTCACCAGGAGCAGCCTCCGCGGCAGCTTCCGCGCAGACACGCCATGTGTCTCCTGTGCGCACAGAACCGACTACTGACGGTGCACCGATACCCTCACAACCGCTGTCTGCGGTTTCGGTGCATACTACAACTCCTATCAAGGAGTCAGACACCGTCCGAGACCCTGTCTTGCCTAAGATCACGCAGCTGCTCGAGTGGCAGCAACAAGTACGGAAGAACTTTGGGGCCGCCTCAGGGCGACCATCCAAAGCATATGCCTTCCTATGCGTGGCTGAACAGCCCGAATGTACATTCGAGGACTTACAAGACAGTGGAGACTTTGAGAGCATCGATTGCAAACTCGCTACCGCTCTGAGCGACATCTTATCCTCAGACTTGCGCTACCAAATCAGGCTCATCGAAACCAGCGAGCACAAAGCAGGACGCATGCTCAAAGGACGCCAGATTTACTTGCACATCCTACAGTCCTACAAAGTGACAGAG